CACTTGCAAATAATGGTTCACATACGCATACTGTCACACCCAGCATTGGACTTTTGAAAGTCTTTTGAGTCTGAGGTTGCTGGGTGCTGAATCTGAAAATAGGAGACTTGCAAAATCTGCTTGCTACACAGTCCTCTGCATCAGAGCCTATAGGGTAAGGATAAGAACAGTATGAATGAACTGGGCTGCACAAACACCTCCAGGGAGACTTTTTCATTATTTAGCCTACTAGCCCAGCTCTTATTTGCAAAGTACTTGATTCTAGCTCCAAATTTCTAGCAGCTGGGCTACTAATCGGTGCCGGCTCCCTGGGGCCCTGGGTGCCTGTGCACCCACAAAATTCCCCATGAAGAGGCCAGGCACCCACAAATTTCAGTGTCAGGGCCATGCACGCTGCATGGCGCCTATGGTCGCTGGCCATCTTCTGCATTTGCATATTATGTGAGTTTTATCACGCGTATTTCATGCAGTCCATTCCTATGTGTGTTACTCAGAAGTAGGTCCCACTGCATTAAATGAGGCTAGCTCCCAGCCAATAGAATCATAGAATCACAGAGTTGGAAGAGACCACAAGGGCCATCGGGTCCAACCCCCTGCCAAACAGGATGACATATGGTTGTCAAGCCTCTGCTTAAAGACCTCCAAAGAAGGAGACTCCACCATAGAAACAGGACGACATCCAAAATGGGACATACTCCACAACATGGATGTTGTGTTCTTGAGTGTTTACTCTTTGTCTTCTTTTTAAAAAAAAAAAAACTGTGAAAGAGTTGTTGGATATGGCATAGGTGTCCCTCTGCCTGGTCTTGTCGTCTTCTGCCCGAGGAGTGATGCCAACGTCACTCTGTCCATTCCACCTGCCAAATGGGCAGGTGAAAGTACAGCCAGCCGAATGCCCACAACCTGCAAAAACACCCAGAAATTGGGAGAGGTAGCCCAGGATCTGGTAGGTCACAAACTGGCCCCATTGTCACCGAATGTAATGGCAATGGGTCCAAATTTCTGTGCCAGCTCCTGGCTGGTGCTGCTGTTTGCCTTTCCTCCCACCTTCCACCTTGGCAGGGCTGCGGGTGTGGCAGTAGCCCTGCCGCTCTGCAAAGCCTCCCCAGACAGCAGCTTGGGTTCAGATTGCACGGTAATATTCTAACAGCCAATGACATGCATTATCTTTACCTAATAGGCTCCAATGGGGAAAGTCTGGTTGATTTCGAAAGCTTAGTATTAAATTACACGTAGAAAGTGAGACTGGCTGGGAGCCTGTGCAGAGAGAGAGCCACATCACATTATCATATCTTGGCTTATTGAGTCAAGATATGCTTGCATCTTTGATTTTTGCAATTGAACCAATTGAACGAAGTCTCTCGTTCACCAGAGTTTCCTGTCTCATCTGATTTGAGCTGGGAAAATATGGTTGCCAACTTCAGAACAAGTCAAGATCTCAAATCAACTTCAAACCGACATTTAAGATCCTGACTTTGTGCCCAAAGCTGCTAACCACTGTTTCTTGGGCAGACAAAGTGAGAAACTATGGTTAATTACACACTTCCAGGTTTAATTGCAGCTCACTGCAAAGGGGTTACGTGTGCAGGCAGAATTTAATATATTAACTTAATATACAGTGGTACCTCAGGTTAAGTCCTTAATTTGTTCCGGAGGTCCGTCCTTAACCTGAAACTATTCTTAACCTGAAGCACCACTTTAGCTAATGGGGCCTCCTGCTGCTGCCACACCGCAGGAGCATGATTTCTGTTCTCATCCTGAAGCAAAGTTCTTAACCTGAAGCACTATTTCTGGGTTAGCAGAGTCTGTAACCTGAAGCGTATGCAACCTGAAGCGTATGTAACCCGACGTACCACTGCACTGAGATGATCATCTGAATATGGTCATACTTCTCACTAAAGACCAGTGTGCCTAACCACTGCCTTCCAGTTGTTACTGGGATTGCAATTACCTCCAGGCCCAGCCGGCATGGCCAAGAGTCATGGAGGATGTGAGTTGCAGTTCAACATCTGGAGAGAAGGAAGTCAACCACTTTTGCTCCAGAAGTCTCCAAACACTTAACAGCTCAATCCGGGGCATGTTTACTTGGGACTTAATCCCTAGGAAATGTGGGTAGGATTGTAGCCAAATTAGGCCTTGGTGAATGAGTGTGAATTCCGTTGAGCAAAGTGGGACTTACTTCACCGTAAACAAGCCAAGGATGGGGGCTGCCACTCCAAATCGGGATCTTTCCAGGGAGCCCTGGTGAGATTTGTGGGAAGATAAAGTTTACTGCTGTCACCCACAAGCAACGCATTTGGAATTAAAGTGATTTCGTCACCTTTCCCAAGTGGATGACAATATGAACCAGGAAATATGTGAGCATTGTGGCTGCCTGTTGGTTTTTTTAAACAGCTGTAGCCCTCGCAAGACTGAACTGTCTTGAACGTTAAGGAAACAATTGCTTTCTGAATAATGTTGCCAGTTTGTTCCTTTCCTTCTCCTACCCACGGCAGTGGTACAATCGATTGAACTACCCCAAGATAAATGCCACCAGTGGTCAAAGTTCCTGGCAGAATTTATCCAGAGGACCATCATCATAGATGTCTTCGCATCATTTTTAAAAATAATGATAATTTTGAAAATAATGAATGGATCCCTGGTGACATTCAACGAAGCAATGGATTCCAGTTTCTCCAATGCCAATGGCACCATTCTAGTCCTACCACCCACCAGATTCTTTCACCCATATCAAGAATGAATCAGCTTGTATTTCATTTGCAGGCTGCACCCCTAAAATATTCCTGAAACTGGGGCAGATAAACCAATTCTAAGTACACTTACTCTGAAGTAAGTTTTCTCGATTGCACCCATGCAAGGAATTGTTCCTGAATGGGAGCCCCAATCCAGGACACTGTTCACACAACAGCAAGTCCCTTTGAGTTGAAAAGGGCTTTTTTTACTTGGTCTGCCGGGAAAGCTCAGTTGGGTATCCAACTGACGCTGATAATATCAAGGCTGCAAGTTCCATCCCCATATGGGACAGCTGCAGATCCCTGCATTCCAGGGGGCTGGACTAGATGATTCACAGGGTCCCTTCCCACGCTATTATTCTGCTTCACCACAAGCACCAAAAGGGGCCATCTTCCGCGTGTAAACTCAGGGCAACCGGGCTCAACAAGGTTTTGAAGCCCATTTCCCGTTTTCTCAGCGCTACATTCTTACCCGCGCTCACTTTCTCTTTTCTTTCCTGGATCACGTGTAACTATCTTAAGGCGTCCCGTGAGCGTGCAAGGATTTCAGCCCAAATGGTTGCACGCCACAGTCTGAATGCTCCGGAAGGAGCATCTCGCTAATCCCATTTTTAACTGAAGGGGCGCGGGGGGAGGGAGGGAAGAGAAAGCGATGCAAAGAACAGTGGGAGCCGGCCTGTTTCAGGCACGCCGTGTTCCGCTCCTCACGTACACTAACGTGGGGGAGGGCGACTCGGGCTGGGAGCTAACACTTGTACACAGCGTATCAATTGTGTTAATCCACCGAACAATGTGTCCTCCCCTTCTTACAAACACAGCGCCCTCTAAAATCTGCTAGGTGATTGGATTACCTTCTTTCTCAAAGGAGGGGATGGGTGGGAGCGGGGCAGGACGTCTAACATTAATGATGCAATTCTCAAACACGTGTTCTTTTGGGTCAGCCTTGTTGACTTTTGTCACGTCTACTTTGAGAGTAAGTTGGCCGAAGATTGCGAGCGACTCACTTTTCATTATTATTTAAGGGAAAAGGAAGGCATTGGGGGTTGTGTATGTGTGTGTTTGTTTTGGAGGGGTGTCTACTCGCGAGTAAACGCAGTATGAGAGGTGGCTGCCTTGGAGCTGCGATCCTAAATATTGTCATTTGCAATATCGATAAGATCCTAAGGGACAGCCAAGTGAATGGTTCCAGGGTCGCGCCGTCCGATCCTGTTCATGTTACATTAAGTAGTAAAACCCATCCAGTTCAACGAGATTGATGCCCAGGTTACAGCGTGGAAAAGGATCGCAGCCTTCCTAGAATCTCCCTTTACAAATTTACAGGGCTCCTACTACCCAGACCCACTCCCAAGTAAAACAACTCTTTTGCACTTTGGGATTTCAGCCTCGAAGAGACCTTCTGGAATTGCACTTCCCGGTAACATTTGCTCACGAGTAGTCCCCGGAGCAATCGACAGAAACATAGACCGCAGAAAACCTGCTAAGAAAGAGAGACACATCTCGGAACAGCAAAGGACTGTCTGAACCTTGGAGGGGGGGAATAAGAAGAGCCTACTCTAGAGTAAACGGCTGTAAATTCCGACACGGGGGTGGGAAAGAAAACCGCCCACAAATCTGACACGAGCTTTCTTGGAAGAGGCCATCTCCCTAAAGCCCGTGGAACAGGCATTGGATCAGCGCGGAATGCGACTTACTTCCGAGTAAGCGTGCGTGGGAGGGAGGGAAGGAAGGAGTGCGGGGGGGGAGAGAGGGCGCTCGAATCCCCGTCGATCATTTCTCTTTGTCCAAAATGTCACCGGCGGCGTTTAAAACGCTTTCGGGTCACAGTCCCCTCCCTCCCTCCCTTCTTCCAGCTTGCACCGAGAGCGGAAATTATTGTGGAAATAATACCCCGATCCCCTGCAGTTTTCGGTGTGTGTGTGTGTGTGTGTATGTGTGTGCCTAGACTTAGCCCCATCCGCGTATAACAAAAAACGGGGGGGGGGGAGGAATCGAGGAGGGGAGAGAGAGAAAGAAAGGAAAAGGAACGAAAGAAAGAAAAAGGAAAGAAAGAAAGAAAAGCCGTTGGATCGGCGAATGGGCTCCTCTCCTCTCTCCGTCCCTCCCCAAGCTGGTGTTGCCCTTTTGAATACCTCCTGGCGCGCTCTGCTAAAGGCTAGCTCCCAAGCGCTGGCAGGCGGAGAGGTTGGGAGGGTAAGTGAATGTAAGCCCGGGCGAGCCAATGAGGTAGGACCGGATACGATATATCCTCTGGGACAACAACTGCTCTGTTCCTCCTCAGATCCACATGACGCCATTTACTGCTGCTTTTGCAGAGAGATCACCCTGCCTCCTCCGGAAAGAAGAAAAAGAGAGGGGGGAGAGAGGGAGGGAGGGAAGGAGGGAGGAGGAGGTGGAGGAGAGAGGGCGGAAAAACGCTGGAGCGCTGCAAGGACGGATCTCCAACCTGCCTTCCTGCAAACGCGCCACAGGCAGCAGCAACTGCGGCTCTCGAGCCCCGCTGACTTTTCCCTCCCTCCCTCCCCCCAAAAAGAAAAAAAAGGGGGGAAAGAAGGGGGGAAGACCTTGCTCTCCTCCTCCTCCTGCCCCTCCTCCTCCCAGTTTGCAACCAGCAAAAGCTGCCTTGGGAAGAAAACGCACGCGCTCACGTACAACACACATTTGCCCAGAAGAAGACGGGAAGAGAACTCGCCAACCACTTAAAAGAAGCAACAAGCCCTTAGCGCGCACCCCCCCCCCCCACAAATTTACAAAGCGAAATCAATCCAGATTGCAACCGATCGGGACGCCCAAGCTGGAAGAACAGAGCGAAAACAACAACTCCTGGTCCGCGGCAACCTTGGGATTTTATTCTGTTTTCTCCTCGTTCTCGCCAGGAGCCACTCACTTTATGTCGCTCGCCTGGGCTCGCCCTCCCCCTGTGTATGATGTATTAAGCGAAAGTGACTTGGGATTGACGAATCGGCCTCTTGTTCATTGAGAAAAAAAAAGAGAGAGAAGCAACAGCGACAAGGAAATCAACGTGTGTGATTGCGAAGGAAAAGGGGGAAGAGAGGAAGAGAGAAACCCTCGCCCCGTCTGGAAAAGGGGACTTTTTAGACACACACACACGCACACATTTGTGGTTTGTTTTCTTTGCTATTTATTATCAGCCGTCCCTGCGGAGAAGACAGAAGGAGGCAGGGGGAGAAAGCAACTTTGCCGTGGATTGTCTGCTTTTTCCTTTCTTTTTTGCTCGTTTCAATGATTCTCGCTCGCAACCTGGACTCGAAGTGAGTTTCTGGAACAGAAGAGCCGCTTCTGTTCTCCCCCTCCTTTTATTTTCGTTTGGCTTCGGGGTTGCGTTTTACTCGTCAACCTCAGGAAGAAGAAAATCTAGGGAGCGGGGTGGAGAGGAGAAGGGGTTGTGAGGAGGGGAGAGAGGAGGAGGAGGAAGAGGAGGGTTCATTGCAAAGCAAGCTTCTGCTTCTATATATATGTGTGCGTGTGCGTTTTAAAGTGACTTGTTTGCAAGGAGACAAATGCAAATTTCAGGCCGATTCCCTTGGTAGAAGTCCTGCGAGGGGTGTTTCTTTTCTCTTGTGCACAGCAAAGAGACTGCAAAATGGTGTGTGTGTTCGGGGAGATTGCCTTGGAAAAGTGTGTCTGCGGGTGTTGTTTGGGGGTTGAGTTTTCTCGGGTGGGAACAGATCGCGGAGTTCCTTCGCGCTTTGAAGCATTCCTGGCGCGTCCTTGCGCCTCGCGGATGACTCTGCAAGAGAGGAAACCCCTCGCCTCGCGCCATTGGGGGCGAGCGTTGTTTTGAAAGGGCGGAAATCTCCCCTCAGGTTGTTGAAGTGAAGCTATTTCTGCAGAGAAGCTCTGGCGGCAGCGCCTTCCCCTGGGTTTGTGCACGGCACGCCGCGGTGCCCAGCTTCGGAAACGTGCGTCCGAGTTCGGAACAGTTAAGCAGCTCCGTTGCTTGCAAAGAGAGCCTGTCAAAAAGGCTGGGTTGCAGGACAGGGAAAAAACGAAACAAACAAACAAAAACTTGGTATTTTTTTCTTTTTCGCAACTCCTCCCCCCCCCACCTCCAGTTGCTCTGCAGCTTCTTAGTTGCAAGCTCACTTCGTACTTAGCCGCCCTCTTTTCAAACTTGTGCACTTGGAATGTGCAATTCGGAAGTGAGCGAACGTCTTTAAGTGTAAATTTGTGGGGGGGTTTGCCAGTGGGAGGGATGGGTAGAATCTCCCACTTAACCGGATTGTCTTCTGAAGTGCATTTTTTTCTTTTTTGACATCTGCTCTACCTTCTTTCTCTTCCCCCTCCCTACCGCCCCGGGCCTTTTTTTGGAGGGGGGGGTGGAATATGCAGAAGATTGCTACTTTTGGAAATGGCTGGTCATGTTTCTTTTTTCTTTCTTAAGGCTTAATTTGCCCCACCCCAATGCCTGCTACATAGACTCAGCCCTAAATAGGGGAGGGGAGGCATTCATATGGGGGGTGCGAAGACGAAGGGGGGTGTTCTAAACACCCCTAAGATAAAGCACCCTAAATATTATTTTTTAAAAATAAAATGGAAAGCTAAACTATGAGAGACAGCAGCTTTTGCATGGAAGAAAAGGGTGGCTGTGCACTATATAAATTCTTCGTCGTTTATTCAAAAGCCACCCCCACCCGCACCCCTGATTTACTTCGCATTTCTCCCTTTGCTAGTGAATGGACTTTGGCTTTTTAAAATCCGTGGGACAGTTGGGACATACGTACAACACCACAAATCCTGGCACAGAGGATTTTAAAATAAGGCTTCAGCAATTGTTGCATTAGTTAGAAAGTAGGGTGTTTCGTGGCTGGGGGTGAGGAGACTTTGTTTGTTGATAGTGTAGCTGGATCTGTCGACCGGGGAATGCGTTTCCCTCCGGGCAATAAAATTCCAGAGGCTGTTTGTGATGGGGGGGAGGAAGAGTTGAGAGTCCTGCTTTGTCATTCATGAGATGGGGATTTGCTTGAAATTTACGCAAATCGGACAAATGCCCAGCAGGCGCTCCCTTGGGGGCAGACTTCCTGCCAGACCTGACTTCTTGGAAGCTGGAGCTGGTGGGATTTGATGGCATTTGGGTGGGGGGAGAGGGAGGGGAGGGGATTGTGTGAGCAGGTGCCTCGAAGGTGCTGAGGACGGAGCAGATATGTAAGTCACTTTACATAACTGAAGCAGGAAAGAGCCCTTCCCCATCTCCTGCTGGGAGGAGGAAGGAAAGATCCTGCCAGGCTCTCCTGATAAGGCAATCTTATTACAGTACAAGTCTCCGTCTCTCTTCACCCTCCTCTCCACCCCCCGCCCTGCTTGTCTCCTGTTGATCTCCAGGTTGTCTGCCTTTCAGGGAGGTTCCTTTGAACACAGTATCAGGGCAGCCTAGAGGAAAATGAGCAGGTTCCTGGGATCCCACCTGCTAGGCGGATTGTTTTATGTATGAAAGGAAGAAGCCTGTAATAAGGAAGGAAGGAGGTGATGCTCCCTGGCTGGCGGGCGGGCGGGCGGGCAGGGAGGCAGTGCGGGAGGGAAACGTGAGACAGATCTTTCCCGACCTGTGGATTGTGGACAGATTTTCAGCCGGCACTGTTTACTTGGAATTCAGTGGGAATTCCTTCCAGAGAGATAAGACTGCACGGGGTTGGAGTCTTCACCTAAAGTTTGTAGTATCTTGCACAGCCACCTAAATTTAGTAGTACTTTTTTTTTAAGGAAAAAAAAAATCAGTTGCTATGAGGTCATTGCAATAGAGAGGACTGTACCTTGATTTTCACCCTGTAATTACTGCAGATTATTGGGTGGTTTTTATGTGCCGGCAAATCCAAGCCAGAATTTTAAGTACTCCTTAGAAGTAAGTCCCACGGAGTTTAATAGTGCTTACTTGCAAGTATATGCATAGGCTTTCACTGATCTGATGCATGTTTAGTCAGAAACCAGCCCTGCGGATTCCAGTTGTGTAAGCAGCTGGTTCCTATCCTTCTCTTTAACTTAAAAGTAAGTTTCACACTGAATTCAGTGGAATGTATTTCCATGTATTCACCGGGTTGTAGTGAGACTGTAATGTGACCAAGAGAATTCTCCTTTTGTTGAACAACTGCTCCTCAGACTTTTTTTTTGCAAACTGGATCCTGCCCATTTGTGAGAGAGAGGTATTTAGCCAGCTGTTTTCTAGTTGGCAGTCCTGTCACTCTCTGTCTATACTTTATCAAGATTCCATTTTTCAGGTAGTGCTGTTCAAGTTGAAGCAATATTGTCATAGGCTGTTCCTGGAACCATGTGGCTTGCAGATTGCATGCAGGATATTTGTGTATTGTAAGCCAAACCACTTTTTTTTTCTTTCTGGCAGTGCCCAGGAAGTGGATGGATTATCTCTGGGTGTTATGAATGCACAATGAAAACCCTTACAGTGCTCAGCATTGTAAGCTTCAGGTGCTGGGGCTTAGGAATGCAAAGTTGTAGACAAATATTAAAAGTTCTGCAGAGAGGTACTTTGTATATGCTTTTTGGCATTTGGGCCTGCACTTAAGACCAGCCTCGGACACGTTGTTGCTACTTTATGCTTTTCGCAGTGTCGTTGCAGAAAAACACATTTTTCCTTCTTCTTTTTTTTGCAACATGTTTAAGCTCAATGTGGAAAGAGGACGTATTTGCTAGGCTTGCACAGGATAGAAAAATTACCACTCTGTCATTGGAAAGTTCTGTTTTGCTTGTTTAAAGTCTGCTACATATAGTGCAGAGGAAGTCCCACCTCTTCCTATGGCTTAAGCCTGCAGGCCTGTATGTATTTATTGCGGAGTGGACCACAGTGAACTTGCGTGCACTGACTTCTGACACACTGGTTTTTGACTGCAAAAGTGTGTTACAATCTGTGATCTGAGAGGATTTGTCAAGAGTTTCAGACACCTAAGGTGTCTAGATCCACAGAGAGAGATTCAGGCAGGGACATGTAAGGACTCATCGCAGGCTTCTCTTTTTTTTAGGTATACACCTAAATATGAAAACTGCAACGTGGTTGCAAACATATGCAAAGAACGGTTACATTTGTCAGAGTTGCCAGGATTGACTCTTTGGCTCTTTTGTCAAGTGTACAAGCTTGTACTATGTAATGTGTGAACTTGTCCTGTAATGAACGTCAAGAAGTGACTAAGATGCAGGTTTCCTCGGGTTTCCAGAAGAAGAGGTCTTTGCCGATCCTTAATTAAAAAGCAGAACCCTGTAAAATGTAGAAAACAACTACCTTCCTCTTTTTAAAAAATAAATAAGATCCAATTTTAACACTGGACTTAAAAATGCTCTCTAGATGTAGGTTGGTAGCATCTCTTCTGCAAAGAAGGTCCATTCTCTTCAAGGGAGGACCATGCTGAGAAACAAAGCCACTGATCACTTAAAACAGGGGTGAAGATACCTGTGGACTTCCAGGCATTGCTGAACTACAACTCTCATTATCCCTAACCATAGTTGCTGGGGCTGACAAGAGTTGGAAACCCAACAGTATCTGTAGGGCCACAGGTTCCTTGCCTTTGCCTTGAAATCATAAAAGAGATTGCTTATTTCCACTGAATTGGTTGTCCCCAAGTCTTCTTCCACCATGAAGACTTGGTGCCTTTGCTTTCAGGGACTAGCTGCTGTGAAGTGTGTCATATTGAGGGATTTTGCAGATACACTAGGCAACGTAGCAACAAAACCCTAATCCTCTCTTCCTTTTCCTGCAGGATTTCAGATGTGTTCTAAGCTTCCTGGAGTGATCACTCTTCAGGGTACTGATGGAGACGAGAGCTCAGAATGGCAGTGGGTCACAGCCTTTGCTACAGAGTCAGCATGACAATGGGAGGCAGTATGGAGAACCTGACCTAAGAGATGTCCTGGCACAACAAGTTCACGTCTTGTCTTTGGACCAGATCAAGGCCATCCGAAATACAAACGAATACACTGAACCACCTACGGTGGCTCCGCGGCCTGGGGTGAAGCCAGCGCCGCGTCTGCCTCTCCAGCACAAGAGCGAAAGGGCCAATGGATTGACTGATCACCTTAGCAGGGTCCAACATCCCCAGATCCATGTATCTTCCCGGTTACCACTGTCCCGTTCCATTAGCATGGCCAGCACCGGCTCGCGGGCCAGTACCCGGACCAGTACGAGTAGTAACTCATCGGAACAGAGACTTCTGGGGTCGTCTTTGGGGACAGTTGTGGACGGGATAGTCCGAGTGCAGCCCAAGTCCGAGCTGAAGTCCTGTGAACTCAAGCCCCCTAGCAAGGAAGATCTGCACCTCCATGCCTACAGGTGTGAGGACTGTGGGAAATGCAAGTGCAAGGAGTGTACTTACCCGCGAACTCTTCCCTCCTGTTGGATCTGTGACAAGCAGTGTCTTTGCTCGGCCCAGAACGTGGTCGATTATGGGACTTGCGTCTGCTGCGTCAAGGGCCTTTTCTACCACTGCTCCAACGACGACGAAGACAACTGTGCCGATAACCCTTGTTCTTGTAGCCAGTCCCATTGCTGCACTCGGTGGTCCACCATGGGCGTCGTGTCCCTCGTTCTGCCTTGCCTGTGGTGTTACCTGCCGGCCAAGGGTTGCCTTAAGTTGTGCCAGGGCTGTTACGACCAGGTGAACAGGCCCGGCTGCCGCTGTAAGCACTCCAACACTGTTTGCTGCAAAGTGCCCAATGTTCCCCCCAGGAACTTCGAGAAGCTGACATAGCATCGCTCCTCGGGAGTATGGTGAAATAATACGGATTATTCCTTTTTAACATCATATGCAGCCAACTAAACGAGCTATAATTGTGGCACTGTGTCTTAGGAGGATGGGGGGTGCGCCCTGAGGTTTGCAGTGACCTACTCTTCCTCTTGTGTGTTTGCATGGGCCAACTTAATGGATACCTGCTTGTTCTAGTCCACCTAATGGAGAGATGAAGGGAGAGATGCTCCGCGGGACCCGACTATTGCATAAGCTAACGCAACTTGAGACACTCCTAGGCAATCTGTCGTGTTGTACATGTGTGGGTTCCCCCCCACCCAAAAAAATGAATAGTACATTTGTAAATTAGGAAACTACTTCAACCCGCTCCCGATTATTTTCTGCCAGAGATGTGCTATATTTTTGTATATAGGATATTTTCAACTGTGAAAACACGAGTGTCATAGAAGACATGGCACAGGTCACAAAATATTATACTAATATGTTGTACATTCAAAAGAATGTGAATCAATCAGTATGTTTTAGATTGTATTTTGCCTTAAGGAAGCCCTTCATTTGCAAGACTCTGATTCCCCCCACCCACTTTTTTTGGATTTCATGTATATTGTACAGTTACAGTAAAATTCAGTCTTTATTTTCTAATTTTTTTTCAACATATTGTTTAGTGTAAAGAATATTTATTTGAAGTTTTATTATTTTATAAAAAAAGAAATATTTATTTTAAGAGGCATCTTACAAATTTCACCCCTTTTTATGAGGATGCCACAGTTGCTGCAAATAAGGGGTGAAAGATACATATGTTCCCTATAAAATAGAAAATATATTAACGTTTGAAATTAAACTGGGCTGCTTGTCGTTTTTTCCCCTTCCTCCGGTCCTTTGGAATTGAACCGTCTCTTCTGAAAGGAAGGCATTTCTGAATGCAAAAAATGAATAATGAAACCATAAAATAGGTTGAGATCGCTTCTGAAGGCTGTTGTTTGATAAGACATGGAATCCTTATATGATTGTAGATGGAAATGCAGAGCTAGTGGAAGTAATGCAGGCATAGGCAAACTCGGCCCTCCAGATGTTTTGAGACTACAACTCCCATTATCCATGACCCAGTGGTCCTGTTAGCTAGGGATGATGGGAGTTGTAGTCCCAAAACATTTGGCGGGCCGAGTTTACTTATGCCTGAAGTAATGTATGCTGAAGAGAGAAAGGAGAGTTTGCAGAAAGTGATGACCTATTTTACAGAAGACCTTAGCTCAAACCTGATGTTGCCATACTCCTCAGTTGGTAGAGCAAAAGACTCTTAATCTCAGGGCCATGTCTTTGAGCCCCACATAGGGCAAAATATTCCTGCTTTGCAGGGGGTTGGACTAGATTATCCTTGTGGCCCCTACCAACTTTGATAATCCAGTGTTTGCCAATGACTCAATATCGTGCCCTCTAAAAGTTGCACTACATCAGGCCTTGCTGGCATGGTCAGGCATGATGGGAAATTTAGCCCAGCAACATCTCAAGGGCAGCCTGTTGGCTGTAGACAGCTCCTATCACAAAAGGCAGTTGTCTGCCTTGTTCACCCTCCCCTTAACTTGTTTCCTAACATAACTTTACTGTTCATTTCCTCACCACCTGCCAGTTAACAACCACTTAGGGAATTGCAAGACTTGACATGGGTTTGGTGCCCTAGATCTCTAGGGGACAGAAGTGGGTAGCTCAACGTGTGGCCTTTGTTTCAGCATAAATTTATTAATGCATCACTCTGGCCTGTGTAAGTTGCTCAATAAATGCCTGGTTAGGGAAAAGTGTGGATCAAAACCCTCAGAATGAAGAAGAGGCAGTCAAAGTCAATTAAAACCCTTAACGCCAAGAGTTTATGAGCAAAATAAATGTGCCATAGGGCATTAGAAATCTGATTGCAGTGAAGCTTACGCCAAGCAATTGTGAAACGAAAATGGCTTGGTTGATTTGTCACTGGTGACTGTTAACCTCCGCTAAGGTCAGTTTCCTTCTGCTGCCAAGTTTCCCATCGGAAGTCTAAAAAATGATTTACCTGTCTATTAACTTACCTTTTTCTGTTGTTGTCCTTCAAGTATGAGTGCCGCTTACGTAGTTAAGAGAGAGGGCGTGAGCCAGCCACAAGTGTGTGTGTGCACGCACTGCAGGAGAAAGGTCATTCTTGAGAAATCACAAAAGACTCGGCAGACAGGAGAAAGAGCTTTGGAGCAGCTCTGAATCCTCTCAAGCCTGAAGCAAAGTTAAATTAACAGCACACGACTGATTCCAACACGAGGCATACTCCAAATACACACCTTGAAATTGATGGGCATGAGTTGCTGAGGTTACTTTCAATGGGTCTGTAGACTTGCTTGGCTACCCTAGTGAACTCAACTTTATCCAAGCACTCTGGACAAAGCTATGGATTCCAAATAGGGCTGCCATACCTCCGGGTTTTCCCGGACATATCCGGGATTCATCCGTCGGAAATAGCGGAAATGTCCGGGTAAAAATGTCTGGGGAAACGCAGGTGTATGGCAACCCATGCTCAAAAAATTCAATTAAAAAAAAAATTGTTGAGATTTTGCCAAAAGAAGCTGAACAACTTTGCCTTCACACACCCCGGCCCCACAAAAAGCTCAGCAACCTTTGTGTCTGGATTTTCACTTTTTGAAATACGGCAAACCTAAAATAGTCTAGAATTCTGGTTCTGACAGTGGCCATCCTACTCTGCAAGCATCTGATGTGCAAAGAATCAGCTTTTGTTCCAAGAGGGTTTTGTTTTCTACAAGTTAAACACAAGTTCTATCTTTCTTACTTTTTTTTTTCACTTGCTCCAATTCAATACCCTTGTGTTACTGACTTCTGGAAGGTAATGTTTGCTTTGGAAATTGTTGCTTGTATGTGTTGGTCTCCGCTTTTAGCCTTAGCAGGGATGTCGCATGGGGGGTGCCAGGGGCCCAGGGCCCAGGCTGCACAATTTTTGGGTGGTGACCCCACACAGGTGACCCCAGCAAGGCCCAGCCTGGTCCTCCTCTGCCCACCAAGGGCTGCGTTGGCCAGCCAGTGCAGTCCCACTTAGCTCTGGTGGGGGTGGGATCGCTCTGGCAGCATCAATGGTAAGGGTTGGGCTGATGCCTCCCAACACCCCCCCCCCCCAGTGTGCATGATCCCCAGTGTCTGCGCCCACCCTGGGTGCCGGCAACTGATGCTATGTCACTGAACGTTAGGACTGTTTTATAAGTTCCTTGCATATAATGTGCTCTGTAGAGAAGCGTGAAAATCAGGTGCGGATCTCATTTGATCTACACACATGGCTATCTCTCACTGCACAGACAAGCTCCCCACAAGGTTTATGGCGTCTGTAATGCAATAGGTTTGTGTCTGTTCCTCACACATGGTGATGCAAATTTGTGCAGTGAATACATTTGCCCCCCAAAGGAACTTATTCTGACTACCCTTTAATTAAAATAATTTAGTACACAACCAGTGTTGGAAACTCAGATATATAAGCTAGGCACCAAATGGCTTCTTAGACCAAGGTTGCAGTCACCAAAATAGAATGTCTAGTTGCTGGGGGGGGGGGGCAAGATGGCTTTAAAAGTCTTGTTTTTCACATGAGGGACTGACTGTCATTGATTCTCAGTTAAACCTCTAACTAGTTCAGATGACAAGTTTGAGCTAGGTTAACGACTTTGAGAACTTAAAGAAGAAAAGACCCTTGATCCAGGGATGGTCCATATATCGATTGGCCTATTCCCACCTCTTTTTCTTAATGGTGACACAGACCATTCATAACGTAAGAATATTCTTCACAACTGTGAGCAGGGCAGTGGGGTGGGGTAAATGAAGACATACAACAATTAACCAAAACGTCGTCCACTGCTCCTGCTTAGGCTGCGCAGAAGAAGCATTTTTGTTCCTGAAATGCATTCTGATTGTACAGATAAAATATAACTGATAGAATTCTACAGGGTGGGGTTCAGCACGGTACAGCAGTTCAAAAGCACACCAGTGCAAGTAGATAAATAGGTACCACTGTGGCGGGAAGGTAAATGGCGTTTCCGTGTGCTCTGGGTTCCGTCACTGTGTCCCGTTGCGTCAGAAGCAGTTTAGTCATGCTGGCCACATGACCCGGAAAGCTGTCCGTGGACAAATGCTGGCTCCCTTGGCCTGAAAGTGCAATGAGCGCCACAACCCCATAGTCGCCTTTGACTGGAGTTAATCGTCCAAGGGTCCTTTACCTTTACCTATACAGCAAGTTGAAGTTCTGAGACAAGTTGGTGCTTTTCAAAAATACGTTACGAGCCTGAACTCACAATGACAGAGTCCAGTCAGGTCAGCTCGCTTTCTCTTTTTGCAAATGTGTCCACAGAGTTCTTCCTGCCTTCTTGATATCACTGCTTGCCTAAATATTTGTGCAAACTGCAGCGGAGAGAAAGGCTTTATTCAGAGGGCGAAAAGGTGGGACCACAAAGTTGCTGTATGCTTTGGCCCCATGCATGGGCCCGCCCCCCAAAGCCAGAGAATTCCAAAATGAAATAAGGAGCAAGGAAGAGGGAGGCAGTGAATGTTCTCTTCTGTAACAAAGGGAAAGGGTTTGCCCGTACGCAGGCGGGCAGGCGGGCAGGCGGGCAGCGCAGCTTGGCCCCATGAACCTTCCATGCCTGGCAGCTGCCTGGCGGCATCAGCTGGGCTGGCTTGGTGGATTTTGTTGGCCCTCCATGTCCTGCCCCTGGTCCCAGCTGGTGTGTGCTCATACATGCGCATGCTCCCTGGGGCCCAGCAAAGGATGCTACACCACTGCTTTGATCCTCTATATATATTGCTGGACGACAACCTAGATAGAACCCGGATGTCTGGGGCAGATTAAAGGTGGAGTCCACGAACATCTGAACAGCCACAGGTTCCCCATCCCCGGTCCATTGCATAACGTATGTGATGTTTCTTTACCTTGTTGTTATTTTTAAAAAACGGGGGGAGAAGACTCCCCTGTCTTGCATTAGGTGGGAATGCCCTGCCATAATGTAACATGACCACAGATACATTTTGGCAGTGCACTGCAAGAAATATTCTGCCAGCGCTTGGACAAGAATTCATGGAACGGCACTGAGGTATTTTCTCCTTCTGCTCAGAGCTCTTTGGGTCCAAGCTTTCGTCTTTTTGCAACCCTTGTTTCTGTGTAGTCTCCATATTGCCTTTTGCAGCTTAGCTGTAAAGTTAGGTTCCATCTTCTTCTTGATCTGCATCGTGGGGGCTCCCTGAACAGAGCAAGGCTGTTGGCAAAGGAAATGCTGTCGTGTAGAGTGGCACTTTATTACTCCATATTAAAATCTGGGTCAAAAGGAGGGTCAGCCGAATCTGTTCTCTTCATACATATGAACATAATACCTTAAGCCACAAGAGTCCTGGAACCTTGCGGTTGAAACAGTCTCAGGAATATACCAGGGGGTTTGGCCGTAAATTATGCAGCATGGTGAATTCAGAGTGTTGAAAAAGTAAAATACTATATGTCATTTTATTATTTCCCGGCTATTTTCCTAGTTGTCAAAGTTCTGTTGTCATGAAAAGTAACACTTGCAAAGAGTACTTTGTTTGTCCAGGCCTTGCCAAAAATAGCATTTTATATGAAGCCCCGGAATCAATGACATCGCTCTGATCTCAAGTGCTATTTTAAATTAAGGGTAGATTTTAAAGCAACTTATTTCATTCACAGAATCTGTGTTTTAAATTAGACTGATGTGGAAAGGCAATTTTAACAGTCACCCCATTGCCCAAACATGGAAAGTGTGTGTGTGTGTATGTGTGTGAGAGAGAGAGAGAGGGAGAGAGAGAGAGAGAGAGAGAGAGAGA